AGTGCCAGGTGGAGAATAGAGCAGACGTAGTCAGCAGAATAGCCGGGGTCATACACAGAGGAGTGGGAGAGAATATCCGTTAGCCAAGCCAGGGTCAGGTCAGGAGTCAGGCAGAGAAGACAGGTCCAAGAGCAAGCCGGGTTGGTAACAGGAAATCACTATAGCAAGGAACACAGACAATGGTACTGGGGAGCCAGAGATCAACCAGCAACTTGAGGGAGTGATGAGCCTCCTTATAAAGGCCGTCTGGCACCAAACTGAGCCAATGCGTGTGCAACTATGCACCAGTGCGCATGCGTGTTCCAGCTCGCGTCCATGCGCCAATGTGCATGGATGTTCGCCAACGTGCACTTCTGTGGCCATGCAGGATACTGGCAGGAGTGCCAGGTCTCCTAGAACTTTTGCTGTGGTTAGAACGCTGACACCATGATTTAAAGCAGTGCTTGATGTAGATGGCTGCTGTGGATTGTCTGGAAGTGGAGTAGGATGCATAGCTGCAATGTGTTTGTCACTACTGCATTCTGTGCACTTGATGAAAGGAAAATCTAGTTGGGCTCTCTGCTTAACAGTATGCTGTGATGGATTAATCAGGTCTGCTCAAGATGCTCTGGTGCTGCTGAGTTTGCCTTGAATTCTGCCCACCTTCAGGAAGCTATGAGAGCCTTCCAAAACCTGGGAAGGAAATAGGCAAATGAGCAGCATGAATATGGATACAGCCCTGGCCAACTGCAGGTGAGGGCAGTCCCATTGCATGATGGGAGTAGTATTTATTTTCTGTGATCACATGGGTTCAGTGTCTTTTCTGGGAGAGGATTGAACCAAGCCAGGATGGAGGCAGACTTGCCTCACCTGGCAGTGGCTGCCATGTGGGCCTCAGGTGGTCGACCCGAGGACCTGAAGTTAGAGAGTGACCCTGATTCTACAGTATGCTGACTGAGGAGGGCTGTCTGCTAAAGCTCTGTCTGGTATCACTGGAAGGTTTTGCTTGGACGATTGGAAGGAGGCAATCATCCTGACCTTTGGTCTTGTGGGTACATACATTGAGGAATTTGGGGACTCAATGTGCTTGCTACCCCCCTGGTGCTTGATAGTCAGCATGGGTCTAAAAAGGAAAGGAAACACTGGCTAGTGTTCTGAAGAGCTTGTCTAACTGTTGCTACTGCATAGGTCTTTGCTCAGCTAGGTTACCTTTGGGCTGTTGCAGCCTGTCGTAACTGGCTTGTACCTGAGGAGCTCAGCCCTGTGACTACTACTACTGCAAAAAGGAACTTTGCTCACTCCTAAACTACTTGTTACTTGTTAATTAAAGAGGAGTCTGCTATCTACTGTCAGTAGAAAAGTGCTCAACTAAGAGATCAGCTAGATGTCCTCAGTGTGAATAGCTCTAATTTTGGTGTATCCTATTGAATTCCCTATCCCCAGTTCTACAATAAAACTCCAAAAACAAACATCCCCTAGACTAGTCATTGAAGACAATATGCAAAAAAGTGTGCATACCTGGCGGTGGAAAATACCATGCGCCTGGCTGCGGGGTGAAGCAGGGGGAAACCTGGAAAACATACAGCGGGCCCTTGCGAGATTGGCACTACATGTAGGGGCTTATCCAGGATTTTCACCCCTGGATGTCGCAGTGGTTGCTATGAGCAACAGAAGAGACAGTCAGTGTCATTGCTGGAGCTGTGTGGATTGCGGAGAGGCAATCAGGATGTTGGATTGTGGGGAGGCAATTGGTATGCTGGAGAATTGCTGTGTCGCAATGGCGAATGTGTGCTTTACAGTTAAGGACACTGCCAGGGCAGGACATTTCCAGGTGGCAACAGCTTTAGCGTTAATGTGTGGCGTGAGAGTGCCAGTGAGACTTGTCTAAGAGGAGACAGGATCACTATCGGTGTCTGTACCACAGTTGAAGATGTCTGCTACACCGTTGCCAATAACAATACATTTTTAAGTGGTAATAGCGAAGGGATTACCGTGTAGCACGGGAAAGAGTGCACTAGGAGTATCTGCCCAATAGGATGGGCTGCTATCGAAGTGTCTGCCAACCCGGAAGAGTGGGCAGAGTTAGCACCCAAAATCAGCCAATCTGGAAAGAGGAGTGGAGGTAAGCCATCATTTCTGGGTGCAGCCGAGGAAGAAGAATGTGTGAGAAGTAGCAAGATGGCGGAAGCTGGTATACTTTGCCAGAGCCACTGAGAGAGGTGGTGAACATCCATCATGGCTGACCAACACCAAAGTGCGTTTGATCCCCCATGAGAGTCTGGCCTTGAGCAGGGGAGGGGACAGAGATCATTTGGGACTGATATGTGGCAAATGCCAGTGTGTGACAATGAAGCTGCATGCGTGAGGCTGATGTGGTCATTGGGGAGACATGCTGCTGGATCGGGTGAGAAGTGACTGCCAGCCCAAAGTTCTGCTAGTGAATTGGAAAACTGGGTACAGCACAGAAGCACAACCTGCTGTGGCTGCCTGTTCGGCTCCCAGGAGAAATATAAATGTGAGGCGGATGCCACTGGGGCCGGGACCAGTGGTGCATACCTGCACTACTATGTGCCAGGCCAAGGAGACTAGCATTGTCTCTGTGCAAGACACCCACCCAGCTCAGGCTGAATGACAGCAAGTTGCTTCTGCAGCAATAGGTATTAGTCACCAGCCAGTGGGGACTCAAGTTGCAACAGCCTACAGAGTACAAAGGCTAGCTTCCTCGGGCACATCAAGAGAAGAGGAGCCAGGAGCTATTGAAACTGGGTCACCCAGCTTCCAGTATCACTTCAGATCCCTGGAAACAGGTTGAATGGGTCCATGAGGCTGTAGAGAAGAAGGACACCCAGTGTTCTGATTTGTTTGATGAAGAAGATGCTATCCTTGTCCAGTGTGCCAAGAATCTGGGGTTCTGTGAGGCATACGCAAATTAGAAGCCTGATCTGCTCCCTCCAAAAAAGTGTGCTTGGGCTTGAGCCAAGAACGAGGCCTATTGCATCCTCACTCAAAATGCCACCACCTCATATGCCCCACCTGGAAGAGATGACAGGCAAAAATTGCCACAAATCTCACGCCTTCAGCACATCCTGCAGTGGAAAGTAGACCTGGAATATGGGTATGATTATCCTTATGCACCCAGGAAGGTCATGGAGGAGATAGAGATCAAGAAGGATTCCTGGTGTGACGAGGCCATATGGGACTTTATGTACATCCCCAAGCCTTTCCGCAACAGATCCAAACCTCCACTCTGGGAGGAATTCTTATCTGTTAAGGAGAATTGGAGCCTGGGGAGGTCTATCATTATTGACAAGGTGGTAATAAAGAGAGCCGGACTGCAGAGGCAAGTGTGGGCCAGCAATGTTTGGGGTCCTAATGGAAAAATGGTCCAGATGACACACCCAAACTTTTACTGTTGAGGAGCGTTGCTAGAAAATCCTGTTTAAAGTTGTTAGAGTTGCTACAGTTGTAGTCAGAGGGCAATCTCTCTATCCCCAAATTACCCCTTCCCTTCTACCCTTGCAAATATGAAGAGGGGCGCATCTGGAGGTAGCCGCTATATCAAGAAGAAAAAAAAGAGAGAGGACTTTTTCTATCCAACACCCAGGACCACAACTTGGAGGGGTGTACTCCTCATGCTTAGAGAACTCTGTTATTCCTCAAGTCATGTCTATGTGGGCTGGTGTTGTGTCGAAAGATCAGCTGCTCAATTTTATTCTACTTAAGTGCATGAGAAAAGACTTCCCATTGAAAGCTTCTCCAGTTGTTTCAAGTTTCAAGCTCAAGTGTTAAAGGAACTGCAACTCAAAGGGGTAACTCCCTAGTTCTAAATCCCTTCCTTTATCTTCTTGTGACAAGAGGAAGGGTACTTTGGCTCATGTCTGGACATGCCATGCGTAAGTAGGTTCAGGTGAGTCATTGCTGTAAGCTCAGGCAATGGCTTGCTACAAGACATTTGCTCAAAGGAAAGAAACCTTTGTGAAGTTTTGTTTTTGAAGTTCTCCATTCAGGAACTGAACTGTTGCACAATGCAGGGGGCAGCCTTTGTTACTTTTCAGGAGATGTCTTTTGAGCTGTTGCCTTATGGACAGGTGATGGCTCATCAACAGAGACTCCTACAAAAGGTCACTTCCAAATAGCAGGGGAAGGATCCCTTGCCAGTTCTGTGGAATCCTAGCTTGAGGATAAAATGCCCTTGATTCCAAGTTCTTCTTTTGAAAGTACACTTTGCAAAAGATTCATGTTACTGGGCACTTTGCGAAGATCTTTTATTGCTGGACACTTTGAGAAGATCCTTGCTGTGAAGTTGTTGCACCCAATGAGGGAAGGATCCCTTACTTAGTCCTTACTGACACTTAAAAGGTGGATGTTCCTGATACTGCAGGAAGCTGTGTGCTGCAGAGCCTGGGCCTCAAATTTGGAAAAAAAAAAAAGGACTTTAACTGCTAGCCTACAGTGCACTTATACCCCCTTCCTGCCCAGGCCAGTTTCCAGCTTTCATTGCTGTCACATTTTGAATGACAATTGCGCGGTCAAACAACACTGTACCCATATGAAATATTTATCATTTTTTTGTGACAGATAGAGCTTTATTTTGGTGGTATTTAATCGCCTCTGGGTTTTTTATTTTTTCTTAAACAAACCAAAAACCACTGAAAATTTTGAAAAAAAAGTTTTTTCTTCGTTTTTTGCCGTAAAATTTTGTAAATAAGTGAATTTTCTCCTTCACTGATGTGCGCTAATGAGGCTGCACTGATGAGCACTGATAGGCTGCACTGATGGACACTGATAAGTGGCACATATGGGCATTGGCAGGCATCACTGATGGGCACTGAAAGGCAGCACTGATACATGGCACTGATATATGGCACTGATAGGCAGCACTGATAGGCAGCACTGACTGGTACTAATAGGCAGCACTAACTGGCACTGATAGGCAGCACTGACTGGCACTGATAGGCGGCACCAACTGACACTGTTAGGCGGCACTGACAGGCACTGATAGGCAGCACTGATAGGCAGCACTGACTGGCACTGATAGGCGGCACTGGCTGGCACTGATAGGTGGCACTGATTGGCAGCACTGATAGGTGGCACTGACTGGCACTGATGGGTGACACTGAAAGGCAGCTCAGATGGGCACTGATATGTGGCATTGATGTGCACTGGTAGGCACTGATATGTGGCACTGATGTGGCACTGATGGGCACTGGCACGAGGCACTGATGAGCACTGACAGGTGGCACTGCTGGGGCTACACTGATCATCAGGGCACACTGATCATCAGTGCCCTGATGATCAGTGTACATGTTCCTCCGCGGAAATCAGATTACCGGCTCTCCTCTCCTCTCGAGCTGTCAGTGTGACAGCTCGAGAGGAGAGAAATGCCGATAACCGGCATTTCCCTGTTTACATGCGATCAGCTGTGATTGGACACAGCTGATCACATGACCGAGCCGACATCTTCGGCTCTTTCCATGATCGGTGATCCGCTGTGTCCGAGGGACACAGCGCACCGCCGATCGCCGAGCTGCGCGCTCCATGAGCTGCGCATGCGCAGTGACAATGGGAGGACGTCATATGACGTCCTCCCAGAACGAGAGAACCACCTTGCGCCCGTCATATTACTATATGGCGGGCGGGAGGTGGATAAAGTTTGATGAGTCTATTTTCTATGACATGCTTAGGTAGCCAGATTAGTCAGGATGTCTACCTCTGTTTTCTTTCAGGGCTCTAAGAGACGACGTGACAAGAGGTGCTCTTAGGGAGCCTTCATTGGACCTGTCTGCTATGAGAATCTTGGAGCAGATTTGATAGTTGTCCTTTTAGTGTGAGTGTCACCTCTTAGTGAGAGGATGCTTCCACACCAAGCTTTGTAGAGTGTGGTGTGTACTGTATACATATGTGTGTGTGTGGGGGGGGGGGGGGGTTCTCTTTCCCTGCAGGACTGCAAGGAACTACTCTGCCTCGGCAGAGGAACTCTACTGTATTATACTATACATTGCTGATACTGTCAAAAGTGTATTAGATGGTTTAGGGTATAGTTGGGTATGTGTGTATTTCACCCCACCAATTACTTCTATTTTTGGTGGGGGGTGCACATAAAAGTTGTACTTGGTGGGGCTCTACCTAAAACCTGTGTATATACATGTACACTAAATACTTTATTTTTGCACTTCTAATTTTTTTGTCTTTATTGGGTCTGTATATATGTTACTTCCCTTTTCCCCCTCTAAGTTTTTGGGATTCTCCATCTAGATTTTTTTACAAAGTTTGCAGGGGCAGCTGCTAGGGCAAATGAGGCCAATGAGTTTTACAATAAAACATCAAAAACAAACATCCCCTAGACTGGTCATTGAAGACAATGAGCGAAAGAGTGTGTGTACCTGGCTATGGAAAATATCTTGCGCCTGGCTGTGGGGCGAAACAGGGGGAAACCTGGAAAACATACAAACGGCCCTTACAAGGGTGGCGCTACAGGAAGCACAGCATCTATAGCATATTCCAAGTTTCTGGAGAATCTCCCTGCATTCTTGTAAAGTATTCACCCTAAGTTCATGACATTTCTTAAGAGGTTGAGGTTTTTTGTAAATAGGGCACTGATGATTAGGGCCTTTATCTCTACCACCCAAATCACTCTGGTGAGCAGGAGAGGATACGGGAGGTGAGATGTCTGTCTTTTTAGCAGATACTGCTCTATTTAAGTCTCTATGTTTAGCTGCTTTGTAATTGTCAGGGATGCGGGTGTGACCAGAAGTGTGTGGACTGACACAGGGAAACGTAGGCTTCAGATATAGTAAATAATATAATTTATTAAGACTAACAATACAAACACAGTGCAAAACTAAACATAACACAGTGCAAACCAACTGAACCAAACAGATAACAAACATACGATACAAGAGTAGTCAGGCAGGCTGGGTCGGTAGCAAACGGGCAAACGGAGTACCAGGAGCAGGCGGGAGAGTGGTCAGGACTAGCCGAGGTCAGTACAGGCAGAGTACAGGCAGAGTTCAGGCAGCGTCAGGACAGCAGAAACAGGATCAGGAAACCAGGGCCAAGCAAACAGTACAACAAGGCACAGACTGCAGGTCTGGCCATCCCTTAAATACACCACCTGCAATCAGCCCCAGGTGATGGCTAATTGCCGAAGTGAGCCTCTGGTTGTTGAGAGCACCCGCTGGCCAGCCCTGGTACTGCAGCCCACAAGGCAGGTGAGTCCCACCACTATTGGAAGTCCATTCCTGACAGTAATCTTACCTTGATGATGATGATGAAGAAGGCAAGCTAGATTCACTAAAGCTGAAGCTGGGATAAGTTCTTGTCCAAGCTTGTTCACTGATGAACCTGCAAAAAATATGAGAATGGAGGAAAGGATACATTATAGTCTCTTTTATATTTTGAGGCCTTTTGTGAGCATTTCTCTTGCAGGTTGTATGGCAGTTTAGACATCACTGGATTCATGCCATGAGTGGTGTCCAGATAGCCTAGTCCAGGTAGATGAGGGTTTGTCTTTGCCAACTCTAGCTCCTTGATGAGGGTGCTTAGTTCTTATAGCTTGCAATGATCTTTGTTAACTATTTTTGGAAAATGTTGCAATCTCTTGAATAGAGCACATTCTATAGCTTCAGAGCTACTATAGGTTTGCTCAAGTCTTACCCATGCAGCAGCAAGATCTGCATCTGGGAGGTCAACATGTGCTGCTCTCAGTCTTTTAACATGATCTGCAGATTCTGGCCCCAGCCACTTTATGAGCAAATCAAGCTCCTCCTTGGCAATAAGGTTGAGATCAACAATAGTAGCTTTGAAGGGTGATCTCCAAGAGTTATAGTTCTTGTCGAACTTTGAGAGGCTAATGTTAGTGAGCAAATCATATATCTGGCGAAGTTAGACAGATCTGATCTGTCAGTAACCTGTGGGACCCCTTGGGCGTGAAAGTCCTCTAGTGAATAAGGGAGAGGTATGCCAGGATAAAATGATGTTGCAAGAGAATTAAGCTGTGGTTTAGTCTCTAAGGCTTCTGCTGGCTCTTGCTTGAGCTGTGGCTTGTTGCTGGGAGTCACCTTGTCATTGGCAAGAGGTGATGCGGTTTGCTGTGTAGATGCACTTGCATTGTGGACTTGAAGAGGCTCAGGCTTTTGCAGGTTGGAGGTCTCTGTGTTGAAAGTCCGAACAGTATTGTTGGTAAGAGTACAAGAGATGTTTCTGTATCATTGCATACATTATGCCTTAGCAAACTGGTGCATTGCATAGTTAGTCTGGCTGAAAAAAGACAAAAGTCCATCAGTTCAACCATAAAAAAAAAAAGTTATAATCCTACACCCACATTTGATCCTGAGGAAGGATAAAAACCCAGCATAGCATGACCCAATGACCCAATTTGCTCCTGCAAGGAAAAAAATTTCCTCCTGATTCCCTGAGAGGCAATCGTATATTCCCTGGATTGACTTTACCTATAAATAGTAGTCAGTTATATACTGTGTATCCAAGAAAGAATCCAGTCGTTTTTTAAAGCAATCCACTGAGCTGACCAGAACCAACTCTTGAGGGAGTCTATTCCACATTTTCACAGTTCTTACTGTAAAGAAACCTTTGGAGATTAAATTTATTTTCCTCAAGATGTAAAGAGTGCCCCCTTGTCCTCTGTGATGACCTCAGGGTGAATAACTCTACACCGAGTTCACTATACGAACCACTGATGTATTTATACATGTTGATCATATACCCCCTTAATCTCCTCCTCTTCTCAAGAGAGAATAAATTCAGTTCCTCTAATCTTTCCTCATAGCTGAGCTCCTCCATGCTTCTTATCAGTTTGGTTGCCCTTATCTGTACTTTTTCCAGTTCCCCAGTGCTCTTTTTGTGAATTGGTTCCCAAAATTGAACTGCATATTCCAGATGAGGTATAACTAATGATTTGTACAGGGGTAAAATTATATCTCGCTCTCTGGAGTATAAACCTCTTTTAATACAAGAGAGGATTTTTCTCGCTTTAGAAACTGCAGCTTGGCATTGCATGCCATTATTAAACTTGTGATCTACCAGAACTCCCAGATTCTTCTCCACCATTGATTGACCCAGTTGTACTCCCCCTAGTATGTATGACGCATGCATATTTTTAGCCCCCAAGTGCATAACCGAACATTTATCAACATTAAACCTCATTTGCCACATAGTTGCCCAATTAAACAGTGCATTGAGGTCGGCTTGTAAGTTGGAGACATCCTGTAAGGACATTATTCTACTGCAAAGCTTGGTGTCATCTGCAAAGACTGAACTGATATTTTTAATCCCAGACCCTATATCATTTATAAATATATTAAAAAGTAAGGGTCCCAACACTGAACCTTGGGGTACCCCACTAACAACCCTAGACCATTCAGAGTATGAATCATTAACCATTACTCTCTGAATACGATCTTTTAGCCAGTTTTCTATTCATTTAGACATGGATTTTTCCAAGCCTATAGACTTTACCTTACACATTAGCCGTGTGTGGGGAACTGTGTCAAACACTTTTGCAAAATCCAAGTATACCACATCCACTGGCACCCCTCTGTCCAATGTTTTGCTCACCTCCTCATAAAAAGAAATCAGATTTGTTTGACAACTTCTGTCTTTCATGAATCCATGCTGTCTGTTGCTTAAAATATTTTTTCCTAGCAAGAACTCATCTCTGTGGTCTTTTATTAAACTTTCCAGTATCTTCCCAACTACAGAAGTTAATCTAACAAGTCTCTAATTACTTGGTAAAGATTTTGACCCCTTGACCCCCCAGTTCTAGTGGAATAGGATAGTCCAAATTAATACTTTCTCCCATAGCTTGTTCAAGGACATTCAACCTTGCTAGATCAACTGCTTCTGCAATTTCCATTTGCAGAATCAGTATTTGGTATTTAGTCTCTGCATGGGGAGCTGCCATCTGTGCTTCCTTTCTGGCAAAGGAAATTTGCACTTTATATCCTTCCAGACTTGTGCAGGCCTCTATTAGCTTGTTGCTTATTACTGAGCTTCTGGAGCGAGAGGATCTAGAACAGCAATGGGCAAACTACGGCCCACGGGCCGTACCCTTTATGATTACGTCCAATGACGAAACGCGTCAGAGGGAAGTGACGTCAGACGCAAGTGACGTCAGACGCAAACGAAGAACCGGAAGTGAAGTGGTGGCCATCTTGGAGAGGGGAATACGGACTGTCACAGGCGGTTTGGACTCTCCTGGACTGGTGACGGCAAAAAGGTTTTCTATATATACCATGCGATAAGCAAGATTTTAACATTGTAAGCAGTACCATTAAAGCTTTTGAAATTTAGTGTGTGGCGGTATTACACTATATTTTGTTCTATATTTGGGTATTTGGATGGCGGATATGACGGAGATTGGTCTGAAACACGAGTGTGGATGGATCCACATGGTGTTAGGAGGTGGAAGTGAAATTCGAGGATACTGGCAGGAGGAAAAAAACTCATCCCATCATACAGTCTTCTTGATGATTGTTACTAAGGCAAAA